GAAAAATCATTATAGTTAGCGTACCAAAAGTGATTTTTTTCCTTATAACCACCACAAATTGTTTTACATTAATTATTTCGTAATTTTCTTATCAAAACTCAGTAATAATCATTAAATTTTATCTCATATCCATTGACAATTTAAATATTATCTCATTCTTCCACCAATATATTTTTCTTTTCATTCCTTAATTTATTATTTCTAATAAAACAATTTTCCCGATAATCTTTGTCCAATCACACTACACAATTTCAAAAACTATTTTATTATAATTAGAATAGTATTACAAAATTCAAAGTAGAGCAAGATTTCTAGTATTTTGACCACTAATGTATTAAAAAAAAATGAGAAAGGAAAAGTTGTAATCAGAAAGCAAAATAAAATAAAATAAAATAAAAAAAGATTGAGAAAGGAGAAGTTCCAATCAAAAGCTCAAATTTAGCCAAGCAATACATAAATACATAATTTTATACCACAAAATTAATCTAAATAATGGGGCAACACAAACACATCCGAATCCACCTTCTCAGGCAATGTAGGCACAATGTTAGACAAATCAGACACAACCCCTTCGTCCGGTGACAGGTTACCGAACGTCGTAGGAATACGAGACGAGCCACTCGGACTCTCCAATTGTTTTCCAACAGCCGTTATGTCGATTTTTCCATCCGTACTTGTCGAATCCAGCCTTCTGAAATATTTTCAAAAATTAAAAAATTGTTTATAAAATGTAAATTGCAAATAAATAAATGAATGAATGAATGAAATTAAATATTTTGATTTTAACCTATATTCCTCCTCTTCTATCCCCTTGTCCACACTTCTTGACAGTTTCATTTCTTGCTCGTGATTGTCATGGTTGTTGTTTGGCTCGATTGTCAAGACATTCTCGGTTAGTGCTTCATAGTGAAGTCTCACCTCTCGAATTGTACATCCTGGAAATGTCGACACGATTCTTTCCCAACGGGCGGGATCCTTGTTGTACAGTGTTAGAGCACTCTCGAA